CACATAAGGACAAGGTGCCCGCACGAAGGGGACCGCAGTGGCCTCTGCTTTAGGTGTAGTAAGCCTGGCCACAAATCCGTCGGCTGTACAGCCACACCAAATTGTGCCATCTGCCGTGAGGCAGGTAGGCCGGCGGAACACTGGCTGGGAAGCAAAAGTTGTTCCCAGACCAGGCAAAAAACTAAGAAGGGGCCGGCACCAGCACCTCCCGCGACCGCCGCCACCGTAACTTCTAACAGTTACGACGTGTTGGAGGAGGAGACGCCTTCCTAATGGCTCCCCGTCCCCTTCGTCTCCTCCAGGCGAACGCGAACCACGCAGTCGCTGCACAGGACCTTCTCCTTCAAAGTGCGGCTGAGTGGCTCGTGGACCTAGTCGTAGTCGCCGAACCATACAGAATTCCTTCCTCTGACAATTGGTTCGGCGACTCAGACGGCCTGGCTGCTGTCGTCCGAGTCGGGGGAAGTTCAACCTCCTCTCCCTGTACTCCCCTATTTAGGGGACGGGGTTACGTAGGAGTGAGTTGGGGGGAAATCGTCGTCGTCGGAGTATACTTCTCTCCCAACAGGACCGTCGCCGAATTCGAAGAGTACCTGAACGGGTTGGCCACCTTTATAAGTGTCCACTCAACCCGTTCAGTACTCGTCATGGGGGACCTCAATGCTAAATCCACAGCTTGGGGTTCCCCCAGTACTAGCGCGCGAGGCGCGGTCCTGGAGGACTGGGCGGTGGCGTCCGATCTCGCTGTTTTAAACGTGGGGTCGGTCGCCACATGCGTGCGATGGCAGGGGGAATCCATAGTGGACATCTCCCTTGCCACTCCATCCATCGCACGCCGGGTGCGGAGGTGGCAGGTGATGGACGAGGTGGAGACCCTGTCGGATCATCGTTATATCAGGTTCGACATTCTCCCCCCGTCCGGAGCTCCGCACCCGGAGCGCCCAGAGAGAAACGCTCCGACGTTCCCCAAATGGGCACTGAAGCGTCTCAATAGAGACTTGCTGGTGGAAGCTTCTATAGTGCAGGCCTGGTCATCATCTCCATCCAGGCCTGTGGAGGTTGAGGAGGAAGCTAATTGGCTTGGGGAGGCCATGACCCGCATCTGCGATGCGGCCATGCCCCGAGCCCGCCCACCCCCACCGAGACGTCAAGTGTAATGGTGGTCCGAAGAGATAGCGGCCTTGCGAGTTGAAAGCATGGGCGCTAGACGCCAGTACATTAGGCACCGCCGTCTCAGGCGGGGCCGTGACGCCGCTATAGAAGCCGAGCTGCACGCGCAATATACGCAGAAGAAGAAGACGTTGCAGCTCGCCATCAGGAGGGCCAAAGAGAGTGCTAAGGAGGAACTGACTCTCAACAAAGATCCATGGGGGCGCCCATACAGGAGCGTAAGGGGCAAATTACGCCCCTGGACGCCCCCCGTGGCAGAGAGCCTCCAGCCCCAGCAATTGGAGGGGGTGTTGACAGCTCTATTCCCAGAGCAGCCGGAGTTCACACCCCCTCCTATGGTGCCGCGCAGCCGTCAAATAGAGGAAGACGACGGCGGCACCCAAAGGGAAGTTGGGGTTCCGTCAATCACGGCGGAAGAGTTCTCCGCGGCCGTGGACAAGCTCCGGGGCAAGAAAACTGCCCCAGGGCCTGATGGTGTTCCCGGCCGGACTCTATATTTGGCCCTTGGTGCCCTTGGGGACCGACTCCTAAGCCTCTTCAATGAGTGCATGGAGTCGGGGCGATTTCCCAAGAAGTGGAAGGCGGGCAGAGTAGTCCTGCTCCGCAAGGAGGGGCGCCCTGCGGATTCCATATCCCCCTCGGCGTTCCGCCCGATAGTCCTTCTTGACGAGGTCGGCAAACTATTCGAGAGGATCATAGTACGCCGCCTCGTCAAGCACCTGGTCCGGGTGGGTCCCGACCTATCCCCAAATCAATTCGGGTTCCGGGAGGGCCGATCCACGATCGATGCGATCGCACAGGTTCGTGCCCTCTCGGATGAAGTAGTCTCCCGGGGAGGGGTGTTGTTGGCGGTGTCTCTCGACATCAAAAATGCTTTCAACACCCTTCCCTTTGAGTGTGTTAGGGAGGCACTCAAATTCCACCAAGTGCCTCCCTACCTTCGGGAGGTGATCGGGGCCTACTTCCAAGACAGGAAAGTGATGTGTATCGGGCGGAACGGCGCGGTGATTGAGAGGAAGATGCAACGCGGTGTTCCACAGGGATCGGTTCTGGGTCCGGTCCTGTGGAACATCGGGTATGACTGGAATCTGCGGGGCACCTTGCTCAACGGGACCAGCTTAGTCTGCTATGCGGACGACACGCTGGTAACGTCCCGCGGGCGGGACTACAGGGAGGCTGCCCGTCTCGCTACTGACAGTGTGGCACTTGTTGTCGGCAGGATTAGGAGGTTAGGGTTCCAAGTGGCGCTCGAGAAGTCGGAGGTCCTTTGTTTCCATGGACCCCGACGAGCGCCCCCACCAGAGCCCATATCGTGGTCAGCGGTCATAGGCTCGAGGTCAAGCCACATATTAGATATTTAGGGCTTGACCTTGATAGTCGCTGGGGTTTCCGGTTCCACTTCAAGAACCTGGCTCCTCGTCTAATGGCGGCGGCCGGCGCTTTAAGCTGGCTGCTGCCTAACATCGGGGGGCCGGGGGATAATTGTCGCCGCCTCTATATGGGTGTGGTACAATCGATGGCCCTATACGGTGCCCCTATATGGTATGGGGCCCTGTCCAGGGGGAATATGGCCTTGCTCCTGCGTCCGCAGCGAGCAATGACCATAAGGGTCATCAGAGGGTACCGCACCGTCTCGAGAGAGGCGGCGTGCTTGCTCGCGGGCTCCCCACCTTGGGATCTCGTAGCGGATTCCCGCGCGTCCTTGTACAAGTGGCGCGTGGACGAAAGGGCCCAAGGAAGGGAGCCCTCTGGAGTGGAACTAGGGGAACGGAAATCCCACCTCCGACGTGTCCTCATGGAAAAGTGGGAAGAAAGGCTGGCCAACCCTACGGCCGGCCTGAGGACCGTCGAGGCTGTCCGTCCAGTTCTCAAAGAATGGATGGGCAGGCGACGGTGGCCGCTGACTTATCGACTTACGCAGGTGCTGTCCGGACATGGGTGTTTCGGGCGGTACCTGTGTAACATCGCACGGAGGGAGCCGACAACAATGTGCCACCAGTGCGGATGCGACCAAGCCACGGCGCAGCACGTTCTGGAGGAGTGCCCTGCATTCGCAGAGGAGCGCCGCGTCTTGGTCGCGGAAGTGGGGGTCGACCTCTCGCTGCCGAATTTAGTTCGGGCAATGGTTAGGAGCGAGGGGTCGTGGCTGGCAGTGCTCACCTTCTGCGAAGAAGTTATTTCGCAGAAGGAGGCGGCGGAGAGGGACCGGGAGTACGATCCTTTCGCCCCAATGATCCGCCGCCGGAGGACCAGGCGCAGACGTCGGGACGAGCCTGTTGCAACTTTTTATATTGCAACATTAAAATAGAATTTATATTTTATGTAATATGGCAACATTCTTTCCTTCTTATCGCCGCTACATCGGAGACAATACAGAGCTGTGAACAAATTTTGGATTTTATTTAAAATATCACCATCTCATCACGTCAGCTTCCTTCAAAACACCCAAAACGTTCCGCTGCTGCTCATGGTCCTTCGAGATATATAGAAACAAGAAGATTGGTGAATGGTGCAAATTCATAAGTGCTGCAAAACATTCTCCGCAAGTAAATTGGTAGCCATTTTTATTCAAATTGGGTGGCAGTACGCGTACGCAAGAAATAAGAATATTCGTCACGCGCTGCAATACTACCATACCAGAAAAAGAGAGAAGATATCTTTTAACACAAGAAAAAACGAAACGCAACATCAACACTTCAGTCAAACGTCACTCAAGTGTCAAGCGTAATAAAGAAGTGCGATAGACTTATTCAACGATACGTAAGTGTGAACGGGACAACAACAAGTTACGTCGTACTATTCGACACCAAGCTTACTACTTCGGCAAGATTCGTCTGGTTGTAGATGAGAACCCCGTAAGAAAAAGGCCACGCTTCCGGCTACATTTTATTCGTGACAGCAAGTTCCAAGTTACGAACGCCATTTTTTTTCTGTTTCGAAACTTTGTTTTGTGAAAGTTTTAAGTGTTTAAAATAGTTTATTTAAGCATAGTAATAACCTTGTTAAGTAGTATCTCAATCGTAATTGTAATTGTAACTGGTGGATTGGTCGGTACGCGATGGAGGAAGAATTAAAGAAAAAAATTGCCGGTCGCGGTTACGTGAAAGGCAATATCACGCGTCTTTTGAAATTAACTGAATTAGATCTCACTCCGTATTCTGTCGAATATCTAAAAGGTAAACGTGAATGCTTAATTACTTCTTTTCAAGAATACGAAACTTACTGCAAGGATATTCTAACTTTTGACGAAAAAGATTCAGAGGTAGAAAATGTAGAATTGATAGAGGAAAATTACTTTCGTATCTTGACTCGTTTGGACGAAGAGATAAAACGTAAAACCTTCACGCAACCTTCCCATCCACCGGCCACAAGAATGTCACTACCAGCTATTTCAATCAAAAGCTTCGATGATCCGTTCACGGCACGTGCATACCAAATGGAGCGTGATCATAACACCAAGCCTATGCTCGGAGAATTCCTCGGCTTTATAGAAAAAAGAGCCTTGGCGCTGGAGAATGCCGAGCAGGGTCACAATACTTTGCAACATCAATCATCAGGAAAAGTGACAGCACATGCTACAACAATGTCGTCATGCAACTACTGTGTTGAATGGGAGCCAGCGACCCACACAACTATCCGTGATGCCGCAGTTGATCAGCTCACAACAGCCATCATCGGTAGAATGTGTGGGCAACAGCTTCATGCAGCAGCCTAGAGTATACCTTATAAGCACTCACCTGGGTGACGTAATCGGAGGTACTCTGCCCCATTATATATATAAACCTAGTTGCAACAAAGTTGTGCTGAAATGTGAATTAGGTATCAGGGATATGCTTAATAAGTTTTGGTCTCATGAAAGGGTTCCTGAAGTTTATACTGAGAAGAGTTCAGAACAGGAACTCTGCGAACAGACATTTTTAAATACTGTTAAATTGGAAAATAATCAATTTGAAGTAGCCATACCCTTAAAATTACCCCTCTCAGAAGTTGATGAAACTCTGGGTGAATCATTTAAATTTGCAGTCAAAAGATTTAATAATTTAGAAAAGAAATTGCATTCTAACCCTCAATTATTTATAAAATATCAGCAATTTATCCATGAATATTTATCACTCAAACATGCCCATTATGTGGATATTGAGTGCTATGACTCGAATAGAAGTCCAGTGTACTTTCTTCCCCATCACGCAGTCATTAACATGAATAGTAAAACAACCAAACTGCGAGTTGTTTTTGATGGGTCTATGAAAACAAATAAGAAAATTTCAGTAAATGACTTACAATCAAATGGGCCTGTGGTCCAGCGTGAGTTATTCGATATAATTTTATTATTTAGATTAGGCAAGTTTACATTCACTGCTGACATCAAACGTATGTTCCGGAATGTAAAAGTAAATCCTAAATTTACCTCTCTCCAAAATATACTCTGGAGGGACGACCCTAATGAACCCATAAGGTGCATTAGACTAGATACAGTTACATATAGTTTAAAGACATCAAATTATTTAGCCACGCGTTGTTTACACGAGTTAGCGATTAGACATCAGGACACATATCCTCTAGCATCCGCAATAATAATAAACAATATTTATGTTGATGACATCATTTATTCTGACAATGACTTGAAAACTACTCTTGATGCAAAAGACCAATTGTGCAATTTACTCAGTTTAGGAAGTTTCTTTACTCACAAATGGTCTTCAAATGATGATAGAATTTTGTCTAATATTTCATTGAGTGAACAACAGTTTGATAGTCGAGATCTTAGTGAAAATAATTATACTATGAAAACATTAGGATTATGCATCAATATAAAAAAAGATCAGTTTGTAATTTCATCTCCGGAGCCATTTGAATCTACACATGTTACAAAAAAAAGAATACTAAGCTATATAGGTAGGTTCTATGATCCTATGGGCTTTGTAAGCCCCATTGTAGTGACAGCAAAAGCTATCATGCAAAAACTATGGATATCAGATACTAATTGGAATGATAGTCCACCTCCACATATTCTCCAGGAGTGGCTTCAGTTCACTAGTGATCTAGCTATGATGGAACCTCTGTTACTAGATAGAAATATAGACATTTCAGAAGCACATACGGTTGAACTGATCGGCTTTGCAGATGCTTCGAGTACGACTGCCTACGGTTGCTGTGTGTATCTACGATACATATGTTCATCAGGTACTGCTTATACACATTTACTCTGTTCCAAATCAAGAATAAATCCCATTCATAAAAAAGACTCGACAGTTCCCAGATTAGAACTTAATGCTGCGCTTTTACTTTCAAAATTAATAATGAAAACACATGAAGTTTTAAAGCTTAAAACGCATATAAAGAATATTTATCTGTTTAGCGATTCTCAAATCGTTCTTGCATGGCTAAAAACCGAGTCATTGAAGCTTGAAGCTTACGTGGCGAACAGAGTGAATGTTATTCGTCAAAACACAGCTAGGTGGCGCTGGCTATTTGTCAGCTCTACTGAAAACCCAGCCGATATCATCAGCAGAGGAGCAAGACCGAGCGAGCTGAAAGACAATAAGTTTTGGTGGCACGGCCCTGCATTCCTACGAAACAGTGAGTACAATTTTTTGTTGGATGATAATAATAAGGTGCCTGCTGAATTGCCTGTTGAAGTAAACCCCTGCTTGTCATTCTCCAGCAACTTGGTCTATCAAAATGTCAATCCGCTTGCATATATCATTGAACGATTACATAAATACTCAGATATAAATAAAATAATCAGGCTTCTTGCATATATATTGAGATTTTTAAATAACATAAATAAAAATAATAGTAAAATTAAGTCAAATTTTCTAAGTACTTCTGAATTAAATAATGCGTTAATGACCTTAATTAAATACGAGCAAAATAAATTATTTCAATCTGTTATCGATTCTATAACTAAGGGAAACAATGTGAAAGGCAATTTATCAAATCTTTATCCTTTCATTGACGAGCTAGGACTTTTAAGAGTAGGTGGTAGGCTACACTATGCTGATATAGCTTTTACTCAGAAACATCCCATCATTTTACCCAAAGGCTCCTATATTACCTACTTGCTTATAAGAAGTGAACATGAAAAATTGCTACATGCAGGACCCAAGCTTGTGCTTGCGAATTTAAATCAAAGATTTTGGATTGTCAATGGCTTGTTTGAAGTTAAGAAAGTTACACACAAATGCATAACCTGTTTTAGGAACAAAGCTACAGTTGCCAGGCAGCTAATGGGCTCTTTGCCTCGAAATCGAGTAACTGTCACTAGTAGACCGTTTGAAAAAGTCGGAGTGGATTTTGCTGGTCCGATAGAGGTTAAACTCTCGCGCGTTAGGCGATCCTTAATAGGCAAGGGTTATATCTGCGTATTCGTGTGTTTCACAACAAAGGCTGTTCATTTGGAACTTGCCTCAGATTTAACCACTGAAACCTTCCTAGCATGCTTAAGAAGACTTATTTCTAGACGCGGACTGCCACTGATATTCACTGCGATAATGCTAGTACATTTAAATGCGCACGGTATCGATTAGTTGAACTTTATACTTTGCAGTCATCACAGAGCCACCAAACAAAGGTGAACCAATTTGCCTCACAAAATGGGATTTCCTTTCACTTTATCCCTAGTTATTCACCTATGTGGGGAGGCCTTTGGGAATCGACTGTAAAGAGTACAAAATTCCACCTGAAAAGAGTGTTACAAAAACATGTATTAACGTATGAACAGCTGAATACCATACTCACCGAGATAGAGGCTGTGCTCAATTCTAGACCTCTTTTGCCATTGACCTCAGATCCCAGTGATTATTGTTATTTAACACCTGGTCACTTTATTATAGGGAATTCATTAACTACATATCCAGAAGCAAATGTAAGTGAAATACCACAAAATAGACTAAAATTTTGGCAAATGTGTACCAATTTAAAACAAAACTTCTGGAAGGTTTGGCATAAATATTACCTAAATATATTACAAAATAGACCTAAATGGCAAAATAAAACACCAAATGTAAGAACTGGCAGTCTTGTAATTTTAAAAGAGGATAAAATCCCATGTATGTCATGGCCAATGGCAAGAGTTATCAATGTACTCCCTGGACATGATGGCAATGTAAGAGCTGTAGAAGAAGACTCCAACTAATAAAACTCATATTCGGTCAATTCATAAAATATGTGTCTTACCAATACCTGATAATTATGATTAATTCATTAACTAGTATTATATATAAGATTAATATAAATATGTTTTGAATAAATATAATGTGTACTTGTAATAGTCACAAAATAAGAAATAAGGTTTTTCTTTTAATTTTAATTATACTTTGTATTTGTTATATAATATAATAATAATTTGTACTCAATAACTATGTTATCTTAGAATTTAACTTTGATGTCAAGTGAGAAAGGCATCCATTTATAATAAGATAAAACTTATGTTTGTTTTTATGTTAAAAAAAAAACATTAATTGTTACTAACTTAGATTATCATTGATTGTAATGTATAAGATTTATAATAAGTTAAAACTTATGTGAAGAAGTCAAGCATCTTTAATTTACAACTCTGTTATAGTATATTTGCATATTTGTTACGTGGGTATTATTACATTACTAAACTATTTACTTAATAATGTTTGAAATATTAAACTTGCCTTCCTTACATTCATATATGAGGAATACATATTAATAAATAATAATTCCTATACAGTGTGTTCAGAAATGTTTATGTATCTATCAAACTAAAATTGTCAAAATTTCTATATACTTGTAATTTAAGATGCATATGCATTCATTACTTGTGAGGCCGCAGCATGTTGCAACTTTTTATATTGCAACACTAAAATAGAATTTATATTTTATGTAATATGGCAACATTTTTTCCTTCTTCTCGCCGCTACATCGGAGACAATACAGTGCTGTGAACATATTTTGGATTTTATTTAAAATATCACCATCTCATCACGTCAGCTTCCTTCCAAACACCCAAAACATTCCGCTGCTGCTCAGAGCCCAACTCCGTCCCGAGTCTACCCCCCACGGGGGCCGGGGTGCATGCCTTGAGGGAGGCACCACCCCACAACCAGGCCCCTGGAGGCGCGCGCGTGTACCCACGCGCCTCCACGAGAAGGTAGGGTGCAAGCCATAGCACCCTAACCAGAGAGAGGGGGCCTGTCCTACAACATCTACAGGACAGGCCAAGCCGCCGAAGTCTGGGTTGAGTGCCAAGTGCGAACCCCGGACTTCGGCCCGCGGCACCTCGAGGTATACCGTGTGGTTTTTTAGTGGGTACGAGTCCCACACACTACCTCGCCATCCCTCCAGCGGGGTGACGGTCTTGTTGAAGATTTTTCCACACGATAAAAAACAAAAAAGTCGTATGCCTAATATATATAATAATGTACTAAATTCATTTAAACAGAAATTGCGGGAACATTATTTAAATTTGTAACTTTTTTACTGTCCTCCTTTTTTCACATCTTTCTGTTATATCCCTATAGTTCTCTCTATATTTTCTGTTTTTCTTACTTTCAATTTGAGACTGTACTTTTAATTTGATTATCGGATCGTTATGTATTTATTTATATATAATATTTATACATTTATGGGTTATATTTACATATATATTTATGTATGTATATTGTTATTTTTTTATAAAAATTTATATTTTGCTTTGTATTTATATATCTTTTTTTGACATTTCTTATTTATATTAGTGCACCGCCAATAATCTTTCTCTGCACCACTCATAGTTGACTGGTAATTAACGAGGCAAGATATTAAGTCCGCCACATGTACAATTTTTTTTGTGCATTAAAGTTAAATAAATAAATAAAAATACACTACTGTTTAATGAAAATGCGTATTGTCTAGTGCTTTGAGATGTATCAATATAAGGTCAACAAAAAAGTCCGTGATGGTATATGTCTATCTCTTAAGGATAACCAACAATAACCATTTTTTATCTTTTACATTTTACGGGAATTTTTTTTATCGTATGTTTCCCTTATAATCGTGTAAACTATGTTATTATGTCATAATCTAAAGAAATAATAATATTTTATAGTGAAATATCCACTATAAAATACCAAAAAATAGCAATGTAATTCGTTACGCGCGAATCAGCTGTTATAAGGTCAAAGGTCGGTGCACCCCGCGTATTTGATAAATAGTGCTTCTCTGGATGTCTTTAAGAGAAAATAGCAGTATGTACGTGTATATGTACAAGTCCTTAAGTGTTAAGTTTTTCAAATGTACAATAAAGAATAAATATTTTTAAGTACAGTACTTACGTACATTAATATAATACCTACTTTTTACTTGTATGTATTGTTATCAAAATTAAATTATAAGTTCTTAACTTGACCACGTCTATGTGACCCTCTCTTGGCGCCAAAACGAGTGAAAAAATGAACAGCATACGACGACGACGCAGTACCTATAGAGTGGAGCAACTGCTTATTCAGTTTTATTCAACTATTTAGTCCCTCCACCGTTACAATGAATGGAGGCGGATATTACAATGTATGTAGCATTGCGAATATAAAATATCTAGATTAGGTATAATAAATTCATAATTGATAGACCGTTACGGTATCAGAGCCAAAAAGTTTTCTTTCTTTATGTATGTACTGTTAGGTGCGACAGCGACATTGTTTTATACAACACTATGTAATGATTGATATACCTAAAATAAATAAAATATCTGAGGTTTAGACAAAAATTCAAAAGGTACTTTATTTTGAAAAAGTATTTTGAAAATACCTATTTTGCATTTAGTATTTGAAATACAAAACACAAAACTATTTTTGTTTTTAGAGTGACATTTCTATGAATTCACTGTCGATAGCGAGCGGTGCGATGGAAAAAGATAACCGTTTATAAAAATATAATAAATAGCCCTGGACAATTAACACAGACTGATACTGAACTGATATAAATAGATATTTTTATTTTGTAAATACATATATGTCGGAGTAGGAAAGCAGGAATACTTTTTAAAAAGCCGCAGAACCGTTGACCTATAATAGGATCATCGGTTCTACTAGTGGTAGTAGTTTGACATTACATTAAAATAATAAAAGAACAAGCGAAATTAGATTAGTTTATTATTATAATAATAATCTCTAAATATGATTATAGTCTATCTTTCATTTTATTTTATAACACAATACTTTTCTAATGTGATTATAATTACAAATTGATTCTACTAAAGTAACAAGAGTTTTCAACTTACTTCCACGCCGCTCGAGCACCGAACACAGAATGAATCTTATTCACAAGACCAGCCATGTGGTCAAATCGTGTTCCCTCCAACTTGAACGCGCGCTCAAGTCGGAAGGTGTCGATCGCCACAGTGCCGGAAGTAAAATACCATTTTTGCCTAAGGCTTATAATTAAACAATAATAAAGCGGCATAATTACTTAAATTACCGTCTAGTTATTCTAATAATATTAGCAATTAAATAAAGCCATAAACTTGTAATATTAATAAATTTGACTTACACTATTAACCGAATCATCCGGATGTTTTTCATGTTGATTTTAGTTAACAACTTAAATGCAAAATAATTGAACGTTACATTATTGTTAAAAATAACTTTTTGGTATTTAAATTTAAATCAAGATGATTGCATTATTTTCTTTTTAAAATGGTTACAAGATTTTATCAAAGTTTTAATTATTGTGAAGGAAATCCGCACGCAAATGGCGGACGTTACGCAACATCCGACATTCGCTCGACATAGATAAATTTATTTACAATTCACATAACAATTGCTTAATTCATAATAAATTTTAATATTTAATTTAGTTTTTACTATATTTAGTAATTTTAAATAACAAACATAAGTTATTAAAAAGGACTGATAATGACGCCATCTAGCGGCATTAATTGAAGCGATTATGCGTTGATATTAAGCCGCATGGTAGCTCCATCTATCGTCCTTATATTAAAGATGTAATGAATGTGATTCAGTTTCTATTAATGTTCATAATCAATATGGTAAATCAACAGCAGATGCGTCATTCATCTCCTTATTTTTAATTTGTGGGTTATAATGTAGCTACGGCGACACGGCCATTCTGATGTGCAATGCGTGCTCTGCATTGCTCCATGTTACCTGGAAATAAAACAATTTTTCTGAGGCTTGGCACATTCAGGGTACCATTCAATCATTTAATATAGAGAGCATACAGCCAAATTAGTAAGTAGAAGTAATAATAGTAATAATAGTAAGGTCAAAATTTATGACTGCTCATTCCACATGACAACAGTCGCAACTATAGTCAGAATATTCTTAATTAGTTAGTTATCATATCACGGCTCACTCCACGTGAAAGCAGTTATAAATGATAAGTTAGTTATGTGATTAGGTTTATATTAGTACTGTTCACTCCACGTGACCACAGTAGTCTTTTTTTTTTTTTATTATTATTTTCTTTCTGCTTTTTTTTTTTTTTTTTTTTTATAATATATTTTTTTTTATTTTTGGGAAGGATGTGACGGTGAAAGGTCGATGCTGTTTTCACAGAGGTCCTAAGGGATTGGGTAGGTCGATGCTGTGCTCTAGGCGGTCCTGAACGCCGCGGTACACAGAGGCATTTTATTCTTTTCGGATAGGATTTCTTACTATTGGACGGCTCCACACGCCAATAGTAATTAATAATATTTGGCCAACTGTGTTGCCAATCATAATATTTGGCTATTGGACGGCTCCACACGTCAATAGCATCTTTTGTATTAATAATTATAATGTTTTTTTTTTTTTTGTTTATTTATTTATTTTTTTTATTTAGATTATATTAGGTTAATAGTTTTGCAACAAAAATAGAAATTACCAGATTTGAACAACGAGCTATTCGTCGTTTTCCAACATGCCAGCAGACGATTGTTACTCGCTACAATGTTGAAGACTGAGTGGTGCAGAGTGGTCCGGTAGCGCCGGGCTCCCGACAGGCGACACGGCCGCCTGGGCGCCGGCTGCTGGCTGCGGCGCTCGCCTCAGCTGATCGTGAGCGACCTTGCGTGGTCGACCGTAATGACCTACTACCTTTTTCACGAGGTAGCGATCATTTTCTAAAACTCTGTATACTTCATAAGGGACACTAAATTTGAGGTCAAGGGATGTTTGGTTTCTAGGATTATTTTTTATTAGTACAAAGTCGCCGCGCTGGAATTTGTGAATTTGTGCGCGACCTCTATCGAATCTTTGCTTGTCTTTTACAGCCAAGTCAGTCATTCTTTGTTTAATATGTTGTTCTAATGCTACTACATCGATTGAATTGTTATCAAAATTAACTAGATTGAGAAGTTCAGGAGGTACGCAGTTTTGGCGTCTAGTCAGGAGTGTGAGTGGGGCTACTCCGGTTGTACGATGGACTGTGCAATTTAAAGCAAGTTGCAGACTTTCTAACGCCGTGTGCCACTCTGGACTTTCATAGTTTTTTATAATTACGAGTCCGTTTTTTAATGTTGCCATTACGCGCTCGACTTGTCCATTGGCTCTGCTAGCGCCTGGAGATATTGTATGTAACTCAATGCCAAACCTGTCACAGTAGTTTTTGTATTCGCCGAGAAATTCACGCCCTCCATCAACTATGATTTGTCGTGGTGCTCCAAATAGATGAATGACACGTTTGAGCGCTGCGAGGGAGCTATGTTGACTTTTATCATTAGTATAATGAAACATAACATATTTAGTAAAGGCGTCTACTGTTACTACTACGTATTCTTGGTTAGCAGAAGTTCCGAGTTTACCAGTAATATCCATGTGTATTACTTCAAATGGGCTTGTTGGCTTAGGGATCGGATGTAGTTGTATTTGTGATGCTCCGGAGGTTTGTTTAGAGGTTCTACAAACAACACAGTTATCGACGAAGTCTCTAATAAAACTATTCATTTTATCGAAGTGATAACTCTCTCTTATTTTGTGTAAAGTCTTGTCCCACCCTGGATGTTTTAGGGCTGTGTGGTAAGTATTTGTAAGGCTCCATTGAAACGCCTTGGGAACTATTGTAAGGGTTTGATCACCTGCCACTGGGTCCGTTCTCTTAGACTTGAGTAGGCCATCTTCAAGGAAGTATCCAGTGACTTCATTGCCAGCATGGATGGAATCGATAATGGGCCTTAACTGCGCGTCGCGACGTTGTTCTATTTTTAGCCAGTCTAGATTACTTGACATGAGGTTGACAGTCAGAGGATCAGGATTCCTGCTCAAAAAATCTGCATGCTGCATCCGCTCGCCCTTCCTGTATTCTATATCAAAGTCAAAATTTTGAAGGTAAGCCCACCATCTATGTATTCTAGGTAATAATTATTGTACATTTGAAAAACTTAACACTTAAGGACTTGTACATATACACGTACATACTGCCATTTTCTCTTAAAGACATCCAGAGAAGCACTATTTATCAAATACGCGGGGTGCACCGACCTTTGACCTTATAACAGCTGATTCGCGCGTAACGAATTACATTGCCATTTTTTGGTATTTTATAGTGGATATTTCACTATAAAATATTATTATTTCTTTAGATTATGACGTAATAACATAGGTTACATGATTTTAAGGGAAACTTACGATAAAAAAAATTCCCGTAAAATGTAAAAGATAAAAAATGGTTATTGTTGGTTATCCTTAAGAGATAGACATATACCATCACGGACTTTTTTGTTGACCTTATATTGATACATCTCAAAGCACTAGACAATACGCATTTTCATTAAACAGTAGTGTATTTTTATTTATTTATTTAACTTTAATGCACAAAAAAATTTGTACATGTGGTGGACGTAATATCTTGCCGCGTTAATTACCAGGCAACTATGAGTGGTGCAGAAAAAGATTATTGGCGGTGCACTAATATAAATAAGAAATGTCAAAAAAAGATATATAAATACAAAGCAAAATATAAATTTTTATAAAAAAATAACAATATACATACATAAATATATATGTAAATATAACCCATAAATGTATAAATATTCTATATAAATAAATACATAATGATCCGATAATCAAATTATAAGTACAGTCTCAAATTGAAAGTAAGAAAAACAGAAAATATAGAGAGAACTATAGGGATATAACAGAAAGATGTGAAAAAAGGAGAAGGACAGTAAAAAAGTTAAAAATTTAAATAATGTTGCCGCAATTTCTGTTTAAATGAATTTATTACATTATTATATATATTAGGCATACGACTAGCCTTATGAGTGTTACTTTTTTTTTAATCTATACATGTAAATAAAATTGGAGTGTCTGTTTGTAATATTGAAATAACCGTTTTTTACTACTTGCATATGAATATAAATACGGTACATACACCAAAATAACATATTTTACAAGTTTTGTCTGTCTGTCTGTCTGTTTGTTCCGGCTAATCTCTGAAATAGCTGGACCGATTTTGACGGGACTTTTTTGCCAGGTAGCTGATGTAATAAGGAGTAACTTACGCTACTATTATTTTAGAAAAATAAAATAAAATTTCACGCGGACGAAGTCGCTGGGGCCAACTAGTCTATAGATATACCGAGATTTAATGTTTAAGTTGCTATTATGTTGTTGACAAAATTTTACTGTAATGTTACTATTACGTTATCCTACACAATTTGTATTATTTTGGATGAATAAATAAATAAATAAATAATAATCTATACATATAAATAAAATTGGAGTGTCTGTTTGTAATATTAAAATAACCCCTTTTTACATACATATGAATATAAATACGGTATGTTTGGGATATGGTTGAATTTTGCTTAACGTATTTTGTGTAATGTCTAGAGCAAGGAAACACACGTCTGTTCTGTAGTAATTTGTATTTGCAACTAAATGGAATAACATGCCGCCCACCAAAATGACTATAAGTTATTTTAAGAAACAATTTTTAAACATATGAATAATGAATTTAACATTATATAAAACTACTATCAGTATTTACAGGTAAGTAACACAATTTACTAATTGATTTTTTTACAATATTATCGCCACTTTTCACGCTGTAAACTCTAGTAACACTATCTTATCCAGGATTTGATAACTCTTTATTCGCACCAATAAAGTTTCTTCCTTGATCGCTCCATAAGTGTGAGCACTTTCCCCTCCTGGCAGTAAATCGTTTGAATGCTCCTATGAATCCTTCTGATGTCATATCTCCAACTAATTCTAGATGAATGGCTTTAGTAGCCATGCATATGAATATAGATATATAGGCTTTCTTAGTTTTCATGCCTCTGCCCTTCGATATCAATACTTGAAATGGACCAGTAAAATCCACACCGCTGTGCAAAAACGGTCGCGAAGGCGTCACACGCGCCTTTGGCAAATCTCCCATAATCTGAGTTCTTGCAACAGCATTGTGTCTTGCACATATCAAACATTTACGTATGTATGACTTGATCATACTTTTCCCTCTTAATATCCAATACTTAGAAGTCAGGTACGTCAGCATCACTTGTACACCTCCATGTAAAGTTTTACCTTTTTTTTAGTTGTATGTGCCTCAGCCACAAGCAAATATGTCAATCTGTTTTTATGACTGAGTATGATTGGATGTTTGCTTTCTTCGTTTATATTGGCGTGTCTGAGTCTTCCGCCCACCCTGAGGACTTGTAGTTCATCTAAGTATGGATTCAATGATTTTAGACTGCTACTTTTTCGTACCATGTTTTTGTTTCTTAACGATTCAATTTCATCCTCAAAATCATGTTCTTGGCTCATTTGTATGCATACATGTAATGAATCATCTATTTCTTTTGTTGTTATTGTATTACTTATATCTTCTGATGATAATTTAAATTTTAGAAATCTCTTGCATAGCGTTATTACTTTCAATAATTCTGTTAATGTGTCGTAATTTTCAAATTGTGAATATATACTAGTTTCTTTTTCTTGTTTATTTATGTTCAAGTGTGCATGTATAACCGTTTTCCTTTCCTCATCTGTCTGTATATAACTTGGCTTTTGAAATTCTATCTTTTGATCGGACAACCATTTTGGCCCTTTCCACCATAATTTCGACTGTTTCAGATCTTTAAGAAACATTCCTCTGGAAGCTATGTCTGCAGGATTGTCACGAGACTTCACATAGTACCATTGCCTGTTGTTGGTGTTATCAATTATTTCTACAACCCTGTTCGCTACAAAAGGTTTCCATTTACAAGGTTCTCCACGTAGCCAAGATATAACAATAGTGGAATCAGTCCACGTAAAAACTTGAGACATTGACAACTTCATTGCATGTGTTACTTGTTTGAGCAATCTCGACAGTAAAACAGCACCACAAAGCTCTAAGCGTGGCAGTGATATTGTCTTTAATGGAGCTACTCTTGTTTGCGCAGCAATGAGAGTGGTAGTTACGGTTCCGTTGGAATTAACAACGCGACAGTACACTACCGCCGCATAAGCTTGCATTGAAGCATCGCAGAATCCGTGTATTTCAATAGCTTCTTTCTCTTTATTATATGTATGTAACCATCTATCTATATGTATGTCACTTACGTTTTTAAAATCATATTTAATTATCTTCCATTCATCTATCAGTGATTGACTTATTTCTTCATCCCAACTGTATCTCTGAATCCAAAGTCGTTGTATAAATATTTTTGTTTTTACTAATAACGGTGCTATCCATCCCAGCGGATCGTAAAGTTTTTGCATGTCTGACAAGATTCTTCTTTTTGTAACAGTGACTGATTCATCATGTGTTGTTGTATTATACTCGAATTTGTCAGTTTTTAAGTTCCATGAAATACCCAATGCTTTTGTAGTACCATCAATATTTAGATCTAAGTGCACATTTGATGATCGTTCGTTTGGTGTAATAGCTCTCATAAATTCAGCATTGTTAGATGACCATTTCTTTAGTTTGAAACCACCTTGTTGTAATAGTTCTCTTAACTCTTTGCTGGCTGCTATGGCTTCCTTTACATTATCACAACCGGATAGAACATCGTCTACGTAGAAATCTTCTTGTAATATTCTACTGGCAATAGGATAATTGTCGCCTTCATCATAGGATAGCTGCATGAGTGTCTTAACAGCCAGGTATGGAGCTGACGCCGTTCCAAACGTTACTGTGAGCAAACGGTAATCTTTCAGAGGTTCGTTAGGGTTGTTTCTCCATAAAATTCTTTGAAAGTCAGTATCTTCTTTTGCTATTAAAATCATACGATACATTTTTTCAATGTTAGACACAAAATAAACAGCATGCATTCGCCATCTCATCAACAGACTTCTGAGATCTCCTTGCAGTACTGGTCCCAGCAACAGCTCATCATTCAGCGAGGTGCCGTTTGAACCCTTGCATGATGCATCAAACACGACACGTGTACTGGTAGTCTCCTTTCCTTCGCGAATGACTGCGAGATGTGGTATGTATATTGATTTTTTTGTATAAATTTCTTTTTCAGGTACTTCTTCTATATGTTTCATATTTATGTATTCGTTTATTACTTCCGTGTATTTTTCTTTTAATTGTGGTTGTCTGTTAAATCTTTTCTCTAGCTGTATAAATCTATTTAAAGCTATTTCTCTTGTGTTTCCGTCTGGTGATATCGGTTTATCTGTCTTAAATGGTAGCTTCACTATGTATCGTCCCTCATCATTTCTTTTGTATGTTTTCTCATAAATCTCTTCACAAAGTTTCTCTTCTTTTGTATATTTTCTTTCAGTGTTCATGTCTACCTCCCATATAACTTTCAGTATCTCGTCTACATCAACTGCATGATGCGCGAGTAGAAAGTTTGATTCTTCAGTTGTATTTGCACCAGAATATATCTCACCTAATAAGATCCAACCAAGACTTGTTTTTGCTGCACATGGTGTTCCAGGTGGACCTCTGACTAACTCTGGTTGTAATATCTTAGCATATTCTTTAACACCTAGAAGGAGATCGATGGAGCCTGGCGTACAATAACTGGGATCAGCTAAGTGTAAACCTTCTAGATGTGGCCAATTGTAAACAGCAAGTGATTTTGTGGGTATCTTAGTAGTCAGTTGTTGAGCAATGACATATGCTTGTACTTGTATATTGTAATGTGAATCGTATCTAGAAACTACTTTGAACTGAACTACTTGATTTACATTTGATCTCATAGATCCCATTCCGACTATGCTTCTTTTCGCTGTTGTTCTTGTGAGTTGTAGTAATTGAGTTGCTTTTTCGCTGATGAATGATGATTCAGACCCTGGATCTATTAGCGCTCTTAACACAGTATTATGACCATGTTCATTTGTGACAATGACCATTGCAGTTGCTAATAGAGCTATTTTCTGTCCAGTATTGCAATTAGACGCAACCATTGTATTGACTCGTATTTCCTCTTGCTCTTCTACACTGGATTGTAATGACACAGTCGGTTGTATGGTGCTTATTTGACCCGAAGTGTCTGCTTTCTTCTGTAAGTGTAGAAGCGAATGGTGACGTTTGTGACAAACATGACAGGAAACTGGTATACGACATTTTAATACCGTATGTCCTGGTACTAGACAGTTGTAACAAAGATTATTATTCTTTGCGTATTCTTGACGTTCCAGTGGGCTTAACTTTGTAAACTCCTTGCAATGACATAAAGCGTGGTCACTCTTGCACATAACACAAATTTTGTTTGAAGTTGTTACATGGTATGATTTTTCTTTTACAGTTCGCTCTCTTGTGTATGAAGATGACGGTGTAACTAATTCTAGTGTACGAAACTGTGATTCTAAAAATTTCTTCAAGTCAGTCCACGTAGGCAACTCATCTGTATTTTCTTTATAAGCATACGCCTCCCATTGTTTATGTGACTCTGGGTCCAACTTCTGTACAACAAGAAATATAATTATCGGATCCCAAGAATCGGTGGTAATATTTAAATGTTGTAAATTATTTATACACTCAGATGTAGTGTCTAACAATGACTTAATTTGATTAGCAGACTGACTAGCAATTTTCTTTTGTGTAAATAATCGTTTTAACAGAGAGTTAACTATCAATCGTTTGTTACCGTACCGGTCCTTCAATGTATTCCACGCTAGTGCATAATTATTCTCTGTTATTTGTATATGCTTCAATAAATGCTCCGCCTCACCGCTGACACTTGTTTTCAAGTAATGTAATTTTTGTACACTGCTTAGAGATGTGTTATTGTGTACCAATGAAATAAATAAATCTTGGTACCTTGTCCACGACTCGTACGTTCCTAGGAACTGGGGTAAATTAATTTTCGGAAGTTTCACTTGAATGTTTGAAGTGTCCCGCGGTATTCTTTCAACTGAACGTGACACTGGCAACGCTGATAACACATCTTTAAGGTCGGCTTCCAAGCACAAGTACACATCTTCATGTAAATAGTATTCTTCATTTACGAAATACGGCAACAAGCTCCTTTGTTCTCTGGTCGTAGTGCGTATCAATTCTTCATGTGATTTCTTAAAATTCGTCCAATAATCCTCAATACACTTCAATCGTGCTTCAATGTATCCTTTTGTTAATCGTGACTTCGGGCATTTTTTAAGATTCACTTGTGTTTTCTTCAATAAATTCCCTGTTTCTTCAAGTATACTGATGATTTGGTCCAAAGTAGCCATATTTCATAAAATAGTCTTCCAAATATCAATTTATATACAAGTAATGTAAATGGCGTAAATTATAACTATTCAACTTTAAAACTTTAAAAATATGACTCGGCGATGTACTTAAGCAATACAATGTTGTTTGTTTCTTTGTTCTTTTGTTCTCGACGATGGGTCGGCTCGGCGCGGCGGTCAGCAGGTACTCGGTACAATTCTCAGGTAGTCCGGCTCGATTGCGGCCATATAATGTTTGGGATATGGTTGAATTTTGCTTAATGTATTTTGTGTAATGTCTAGAGCAAGGAAACACACGTCTGTTCTGTAGTAATTTGTATTTGCAACTAAATGGAATAACACGGTACATACACCAAAATAACATATTTTACAATTTTTGTCTGTCTGTCTGTCGGTCTGTTTGTTCCGGCTAATCTCTGAAATGGCTGGACCGATTTTGACGGTACTTTTTTTGGCAGGTAGCTGATTTATAAGGAGTAACTTAGGCTACTTTTATTTTAGAAAAATAAAGTTAAATTCCACGCGGACGAAGTCGCGGGAACAGCTTGTTTTTAATAAAAACGGTTTATTTGATAGAAAAAACATCTCTTTTGTGGTACTTGAGAATGTTGAAGCCTGTTGTTTGTAATATTGAAATAACCGTTTTTTACTACTTGCATATGAATATAAATACGGTACATACACCAAAATAACATATTTTACAATTTTTGTCTGTCTGTCTGTTTGTTCCGGCTAATCTCTGAAATGGCTGGACCGATTTTGACGGGACTTTTTTTGGCAGGTAGCTGATGTAACAAGGAGTAACTTAGGCTACTTTTATTTTAGAAAAATAAAGTTAAAAACCATGTGGACGAAGTCGCGGGAACAGCTAGTGTATAATATATTAGAGATACCTACGTGTTTTTTTATTGATGATTAGCTGTACACGGGATTTCGTCCGTGTGGAATTTCACTTTATTTTTCTAAAATATAAGAAGTTAAATTCCACGCGGACGAAGTCGCGTGTACAGCTAGTTGTCGGTAGTCTAGCGATTTATCTAGCACACCGCTTTGATTCCTGCTTGGTGGTCGAGGGTTCGATTCCTCGCACGCTGCAAACATTTGTATTCATGAGTATGATTGTTTGTAACGGTCTGGGTGTTTTCTATGTATAATAATATGTATGTATTTACGAAAAAAAAAATCTTTGTATTTGTATCAGTTGTCTGGTACCCATAACACAATGTTCAGCTAGCTTAACTTGGGTCTAGATGAAGCTGTGTGAATTGTCCTGAGATTACTATTATTACTATAATAAATCTTTTCAAATCAGCCGATGTTTATTTTTGCCATAATACGTGCTGTTACCATGTGATAATATTACGTACGTACTTATTACTGTTTTAAATGTGATGCGTTCATTATTTATATTTCCTTTGAATTAAAGACAAATGTATATATATATATATTTATATACACTTGCACACTTAGTTGATCCAGCCACGATCCGTAGATATTGCTGATTCCACTATCTCTCTCTTTCTACCACTATAACGGTAGCGTGGCGAAACGGCAACATGTTGCCGTTCCGCGTTCTACCACTATCTTTGTATTCTAATATGCGATGTTGCCGTTCCGACCGAGACCATGCGTTGTTGCTAAATGTATTCGTAGATAGTAGTAGATACCTATACTCGATATATATTTTTTCAACAATTTCCTGCAATAGTGAATCCGTATCGGCAAATTTTTTTAAATGCACAAAGATTTTTTGGCTCTGAATATATTTAAAAATCATTTACTTGTGTGTTGATGAATTTATATACTAGTACATGAAGTACCTAATACTTGTTTTGATTTGAATAGGTAGCGATATTATGAATTTATTATACGTAATCTAAAAATTTTGACGAAATAAAAGTAATTAGTTATCTGTTAACCTTGACTTCATACTGGCACCAGTATTATCAGATGATGAACATACTCTTCGAAAACTTACAGCAGAAATATCGTGTTTGGACTCATTAGATAGGTCTCGATGAATAGAGTTTAAAAAACTTAAAATAAATGGTAAATTAGAAATAACGTATAAAAACACTCTACGTAAAATTCAACCACTTTAAAACTTAATAATAATAATTAGGAAAAGAGCAAAGCTATAAATGCACTGAAAGTAATTGATGGCTTCCACACAATATTTTCAGTACTAAACAACTCTGTTTGTTCAGTAAAAGTGTAAATACACTGGTAACCTTTAATCCTATTTTATATGCAAACATTACATATGCAAACCCTAAAGTTTTATTTCAGAATGGCCAGTAGTTTTGAAGAAATAAGTCTTTGAAATTGTACGTGTAACTTATATATATACTAGTTTTTTCACCATAACAAGCAACACCAATATGGCCTAGTTAGTAGTGTACCTGTGTAACAATACCACATTACCACACAGACACTCCGAGTTCGAATTTCTTTCCGTCCGTTTACTTTTATTATTTATTTTTTTGTTTTTTTTTTTTAATTAAATGTTTTAATAATCAATTTAATTTATACGACTATTAATTTATAATAAAAACGTAGTTAAGCATTAAATTAATTTTACTAGTTAGGAATGTACCTGTGTACTAACTTACCACACAGCCATCCCGGGTTCGATTCCTACCATTGGCTATTTTTTTTTTTTAAACTAATATTTAAAATTAACTATTTTAATAATTAAATGAATTTAATCGATAAAAACGTCGTTAAGTATTAAATTAATTTTAAGTGATATTAACTATTATATTATGCATAAAAAATATTTTGTGATAATAAAGAAAATACATTTAAAATGTTTTACTTGTTGTGTTAATTATTTATAAGATCTTACTATAATTGTTAGCTGCTTTACAATTTAGAAAGTATAATAGGTAATGTAAATTAAAATTAATTTAATACTTAACAACGTTTTGTTCGATTAAATTCATTTAATTATTAAAATAGTTAATTTAAAATATAAAATAAAGACAAAACAAAAAAAAAATAACAAAAAAAAAATCGGTGGCGGGAATCGAACCTTGAGCGTCCGTTTGGTAAGTTGATTTGAAATTCAAAGGCTTATTTCTTCGAAATTACTGGTCATTTTGAAATAATACTTAGGGTTCGCATACCCTTATCGGATACTACTACTACACGGAGTCTCGTCAAAATAAAATATCTAGGTTAGGTATAATAAATTCATAATTAATAGACCGTTACGGTATCTGTATACATTCGGATCAAAACAAGTACTATGAAATAAGAACGAGTATATAAATTGATTAACACAAGTAATTGATTTTTGAAATATATTCAGAGCCAAAAAGTCTTCTTTCTTTATTTATGTACTTGTTAGATGCGACAGCGACTTTGTTTTATACTATACTATGTAATGATTGATATACCTAAAATAAATAAAATATCTGAGGTTTGGACAAAAACTCAAAAGGTAATTTATTCTGTAAAAGTATTTTGAAAATACTTATTTTGCTTTTAGTGTTATAGTACTTTAAGTGTTATATTTTAAGTAACAATGTTTAATTATAATTAATACTACTGCACCAACACTCCGATCGTGCAAAAAATTTTGCTGTTTCATTCTTTTTTAGTTGAGTTAGTGGTCTACCTAAGTCCTGGGCTAAGCGGGGGGTGAGTCATGACCCCCCATGACTCCCAAGACCTCCATGACGCTCCCCCCTAGATCCGCTGTTGCGTCTTCTCTTCATTCGCTCAGTACGTTGTTACAAAAGGAAAAATTCCCGTCCAAAAAATAACAAGTATTGAGTTTTGATCTGGAGTCACGTTACTCCAGACTGATTTCTATAAATATTTAGATTAGATAGACTATTATTCTTGAAATACTAGCTAGACATTATTAAGTTACTGTAGCCATAATGTAG